GTTCTGGTTCACATCTGCCTCTCCTGCAAACAACAAGGATGAGATATGAATACAGGCCTGTGAAAAACAGAATGTTAGAACAATGCTGCTTTCTTCCCCTTGCCTTGAGCTAGCTGCTTCACACAAAAACTATAGATTATATGCAACTGCAACAGATCTGCCTTTTACTGAACCAAAGACACACATATATATTAATTCTTTTAAAACTTATAAATCACAAGTTGGAGTGTATCTATTTATTCACTTGCAGTCAGCATTGTAAAGACAACGTTCCTTAAGTGATTGTTAAGGTAAACTTTTTCAAGAAATGGCTAATGATTCATAATTTAAAACTTAAGATGAATCACATTTAAATGTTATATATTTTTAAATTAAATTTCAAGGTTTTATGCTTTTACAAGATCCCATAGAGCTTCCTGCACATTACCCAAATGCCGAATTTCCTGATATGATTGATTTCCACCAATATTAACACAGGGTACAAACTAATACATGCCATTTCTTTAAATAATGATAAGGCAAATGTTGGTCCTTCTGTTACTTTTATCCATGTTCCATTTTTTCTGACAGTCTCCTGTTCTTTTTCAGTTCGTTATAAATAAGTAACAGAGCCTGACTGATAAACATTTGTGAGAACAAATCATCATTGCAGAAAGCATTTCAAGTTATTAATACCTGGCCTGTGGCAATAAATTATATTAACATTCTAAATGTACAATATAACATTTCCTTATGATTTCACAAGGTGTTCCTCATTTGGAACTGATAGACTGCTGCCCTATTTGCAGTCGTGACAACATCCAATCAAGATAGCAGTGGCCTTTTAACAATTCTGATTGTCACTCATATTTTAAGGAGCAACACTTTGCTCAATAATAGCTGCCAATTTTAATTGCATGAAAAATGGCATTAAAATTAGTTTTGCTTCATCACGACAGCTCCAATTAACGCTTTGGAACCAAATGCCATGTTCATTAATAATATTTCTGCCACCTTAACTTCAGCTACTTTTTTGCTGACTCTAAATGTATAAAATTACAATGGATACCTTAATTAATTGTAACTGAGCATAAATTTTGTTATACAGAAACTTTGAGGCTGAAATAAAAATCAGATATGAATACCTGCAGGCAGATTCTATGAAAAAATATAATTTTATTTGTTAATGCTAACCAAATTCTATACCATAATACACATTCATTATATGAGGGAAAGAAAAAGAACAATGAAGATATTGTGTCTAATTAAATGCACTAACAAAACACCAGAGCATCTGCATGCTAATATTTTTACTACAGTTGTGCTTTTGTAAGTGAATGCATTTAATTCTGGACAACAATGGAGGACATTTGTGCCACAAAAGGAGCTTCTCACAGTCCCAGCAAGAGCATCTTACACCGTTCTTTAGTAAAGAAAATATACACTGACAGTTTTTATTCTCCTATTCTTTGTGATGGGTGCGTAATTGGTAGGGTATAGCATAATGTGATGGCATAGTATAACTGTAGATATATTTACTGAAAAATGTAAGGTTCTCGTTTGCAAATGAAACTAAAATGGTATTCTAAAAATAGGTTTTCTACAGCCCGATCCACAAGAGGTGGGCAGCATAATCCAAAGGACTGTAGTTAGCCAAGCAATATTTTATTTTTGATGTGTGCCATTGTGCCCACAGTATAAAAATGACAATAAAGGTTATCTTATCTCTATCTTATCTTATGAACTGCCATACAGCCAAGCAACAAAAAATTGTCAGTACAGGACTAATTATGATGGGAAAAGACTTTGGATAATGAAGACAAGATGCTAACCACACAAACGTACCCCTTGGCACCATGCATATGGGTGCCTCTCTTGAGGCTTGGAGTTAGTCCCACCAACTTCTTTTTAAAGATACTTTATTATAAGAATTAATAATGAAATGGGAAGCCAGCTTTCTCTAAAGCAAAGTAGGAGCCTCCAGCACAATCTCTTATGAGACATTCTGATGAAATAAGAACGGTAGGCTCAAACCAAGTTTAATGCTTTGTTTGCAAATATGCCCAGATGACCAGATAAAATATGAAGTAAGCTGGGTGGTCAAGGAATCCTAGAGTCTTTTCTGCATGGCAATACCCACAACATGATCTCAAAATTCCAAATATGCCCACCAGCTCAATAGATTTGCATTCAAACAGAGCAATACAACTTAGTTTTTCTATGGATCAGGTGCCTATCAAAATTGGTCAGCTCCGAATACGCAGGATAAGAGAAGGTGTAGTACTGAAGTTGCTGATAACAACAATCCATATCAGTTCTCATGGAAAAATATATTTGAAGTATACACATAATTTAATATAGTAGCATAAGGACAGTCCTGCTACATCAGGCCATGGCCTATCTTAGTCTAACATTTTAGATGACTTACCTTGTCAGTAGTTGACCCTGCTCTTTGGAACATCCTGCCTTCAGACTTAAGAAAAATCTCCAATCCTCTGAGTTTTAGATGATCTTCAAAACATACTTATTCTTCATAGCTCTGAAGCTCCTAGGCTGCCTTAGATTGCCAATGGTTTTTGATTGTATTTCTATTGATTGGTACTATAAAGTATTATCAGCTCTTTAAGAAAAGCCAGGCAGGCAACTGACAACACAAGGACTACCTGAGCCTGCTTTATTTTTATGGCGTATACAGTATTAAGAGACTCTTGAAAGCATGCCTGAAACTGATGTTTCTTCATCTTCTTATAATAAACAGAACCAAGGTAGAGTTTCTTCTTTCTCAGGACTGAATTGTTATTTACTTAACCGTTCTTATCTTTCTCCTGTTCAAGAACATCTCTGTAAAATGGAGGGTTTTGGATAATTGTACAACTAGGCAAATATATGTTATTGTCAGAGTGACCCATCAGATGCCTCTTGAGTGCTTCCCAGAAAAAAAACAGAGACACAGCTCTCTTCCCTTGCCGTTCCCCTACAACTGGTATAGGGAGGCATGCTACAGATGGTTTACATAAAACCTATAAAACGAGATTTAAATTTTCCTCCTGGATTCAAAATTAGTCTGTCCATAGGAGCAATGATTACATCCAAGATCAATCTATGAATACAGACTTTACATTTCTGATGTTAACAAGAACACGTTCCACTGAATTGCTTTCGGTGTGGGTATCTGCTGTCTCCCTTGCAGTGCTATTTCAAGTTTCATTACAAGCAAATACATGGCATGGAAAAAGCATTCAGGAAAAATAAATTACTATCTGTCAAGTGTGGCTTAAAGATCTGGAAGAAAACTTCTGGCTCTTCACAGATTTTTTCACACAGTGGGGGAAATATGAACTCCTGCTGATTCTCCGAGATGAGATAGAAAAAATAGCCCTAAAGCAAGATTCTGTAGTGTACACCTAATGTTCAGCACGTCTTTGTTTCCTAACTAGTTTTGGCTTGGATGCAGGTTATTTAGAGCATGGTGTGGGGAGGGAAGGAGCAGAAAACAAAAGACTGTGGTTATAGGTGGTGGGATTTGCTATGGCAGTAATTTGGAATGTATGAAAAGCATGTGGCAGCCATCCATATCACCCCACAGGGGCCTTAAACAAATACACACATACTCTGAATCCAAGACTTTTCAACAAGGAAGTTCTATTAAAACACCCACAGATTTCAAGTAAATGTAATCTTTTGTGTTTCTGGAACATGTAGGTTTTTAAAAAAAATTAATTCTAGCATTTCATAGCAGAGTTCATAAACAGTGCAATGGTAATATGTATTTTCTGGGATCCTTTACCTGTAGGAGTTTGTCTCCTACTTTTCAGAAGAAAGCATAAAACTTTCTTCTGTAAGATATGCCCCAGCCAAGGAATGCCGCTTCATTTTGAAATTGATATTAAATAATGTAAATTNCCTGGGGGTCGCCAGCCGACATTGCTTGGCCGACGGCACCCTGAGGAGGCCCGCTCTGTGGGAGCGTACCGGTCTATGGGAGGGAATCTGTGGCAGAAGGCGGTCTCGGAGGTAACCAGGTCCGATGCCATGGAGCGCTTTAAAGGTGGTAACTAACACCTTTAGAACTTGAAATCTTTTTGGAAGTAAACTTACCAGAAAACTTTGAAGCATTCTCCTGACAAGAACAGGAAGACATAATTTTTTTTGAACCAGATACTATGATTTAGATATGGAATTTATCAGTTGGAAAGTATAATGAAAAATATTTATATAAATAAAGAACAGAGTCCTGTCAATTATGTTTTTTTTTCTTTCTAAAACTGGTTTTAGGATGGGGATGCAACTTAGTAATTTGGTATATGTTAACTGAAATTCCTATTTCAATATAAATGTTTACCTTTTCAGATGTTAAAACCTTGTTTTTATGGGCGGTTGTTTCAAAAGTGTGCGGGAGATTGGCTAAACTCTCTTTTTCCTTTGAAGAATGTAATTTCTTTTAAAAAGTTCTATTAAGCTGACGGAATATAATTATTTGCTGCTGTTAGTGTTCATGGTTGCTGTACTAATATTTTATACATTTACTATAATGGTTTTCATTATGGAAATTGCTGGGTTGTTTCTAATCTTTCCTCACAAAAAATAAAATAAGAATGATAAAAGTAGTAGTAATAGTAGTAGCAGTAGTAATAAGAACTGCAATATATAACTGCATTAAATTTTAATATGCATGGTAAGTCTTTAAAATAAACACTGATTTTTAAAAAAATATGGTACTGAAACAACTAAAGTGTATTAAAAGTGGTGCAAAGATGTAAGTTGTGGAAGGTAGTTAATAAATTTCTTTAATTGTTAAAAAAGTTCTAACTTTAGAAATAAATCATTGATTTTTTCTAAAAAAAATGTCATTTTTTTGCACATGAAAATGAGTGCAAGGCAGAAAACTGAGAATTTGAAATATGAAATGAAATATCCAAGGCAAAAAAACTGAGAATTTCTGCCGTTCCAGTTGGATGTATCATAACATGGCCTCAAAAAAACCTTCAAATTTATTTTGAAAATTGACAAGAATATTGTTCTGCCAAAAATCTATTTGGAGCCA